TTCATTCTCAAACTTTGTTGGGCTCCATCCGAGGAACCAATCAGCCAAATATGAAGATTCTATACCTTTTATTTCTTCAGAAGAAGTCGTTTGAAGTTTTTGACAAATTTGACCCCTGTGACCTTGAAAGTAGGTCAAACTAATTTTCTTCCTCAAACTTTGTTGGGCTCTATCCCAGGAAGCCACCAGCCAAATATAAAGATTCTATACCTTTCAGTTCTTCAGAAGAAGTCATTTGAAGCTTTTTTAACATTTGACCCCTGTGACCTTGAAGGTAGGTCAAGGTAATTTTCGTTCTCAAATTTTATTGAGCTCCATCCTAGGTACCAATCAGCCAAATATGAAGATTCTATACCTTTTAGTTCTTCAGAAGAAGTCGTTTAAAGTTTTTGACATATTTGACCCCTGTGACCTTGAAAGTAGGTCAAACTAATTTTCTTCCTTAAACTTTGTTGGGCTCTATCCCAGGAAGCCACCAGCCAAATATAAAGATTATATACCTTTAGTTCCTCAGAAGAAGTCGTTTGAAGTTTTTGACATATTTGAACCCTGTGACCTTTAAAGTAGGTCAAGGTATTTTTAGTTCTCAAACTTTGTAGGGCTCCTACCAACAAAGCTTTCAGCCAAATATCATGACTCTAGGCCTGTCCGTTCTTCAGAAGAAGTTGTTTAAAGGAAAAGTTGACGGACGAGGACGGACGGACGGACGGACGACGGACGCCGCACCACGACATAAGCTCACTTGCCCTTAGGGCAGGTGAGCTAAAAAAAAACAAGAAAAAAGAGTTAAACGAAAAAGGAAAACTTACTTAGCATTAACGCAATATAAAAAACTTACTTAGCATTAACGCAATATAAAGAGTGAACTTTAAATTGTACCTACAGGTTTCCGTAGATTTTATTTTCGGCACAGATGATAATTGTGTCATAAAAACACAATATTATCATGTCATATTTCGAGCTTGACATATATCAAATTCAATTTGCATAAATAGGGTTTGGTATTGCAGGAAATGCTTACGTTTATTTGAAAACAAAATTCAATAAGAGATATAAAAACAACACGGTTCGAGGCATGGTACAATTTTCTAAGCGTATCGTCTTTATTTCAAATGCAAATATATTTCTTTATGAATTAGACACATTGATTAACTATAAGTAATTCTCCTTGTTTATCTCACCTTCAATATTGTTTGTCGTCACAATAAAAATATATTTGCAGCAGAAAGTCAAAAGCTCTCGTCTGCAAAACAGCCAACAATCAATCGGAGTTATCTCCCTTTTGACTTACGACAGCCTATAAATGCCGTTCACTTTCTCGGAACATGTACACAAATATAACGGTAAAAATAATCTTTTTCTGCTGCTTCGATTTCTTCCGATTAATATGTTGTTAATAAATGGTTTTGGAATGAGTTTTATTGAAATATGTTCTTTTGCAACTAGTTTGATGTTAAATAGTAAAATGACTGGACTATTATTATCTTGAAACGAATTATTGATGTCCTCTTTATTATTTGTCAACATGTGTTTGGTAATAATTGCATCATCATTCCAACCATCTGCTAGATATGGACCAAGGACAGACACAATATAGCTTTCTGATGCCACAAGAAAGGACGCCCTTAATGCGTTTTCTTACTTTTAAACCACTTTTCAACTAATATGCAGAGTGCCGACTCAGTCAAGTGATATGGACGAACCCAAATTGACTGTCGGTCAACTGTCTGTTATCGGAGAGATACGTGAAGAGAGAATCTTGCACGTGTCGCTTCAGTATCTTACTTCCAATAGGAAAAACAGAAATAGGCCTGTAATTGTTGACATGAGACCTATCACCAGGTTTGTGCACTGGATTTAAATAGATTAAAAATATAAACATGTGGATTAAAAACGACGTCGCCAGCCAAGTTCAGTAACTGAACAGAGACGCCATATATGCCAATCGAACTCCAAATAATTTGAACAACTTTAGGAAACAACGAAATGGTGTAAACAATCTGAAAAAAGGACAAAAGAATTATTTTATGCGGACATAAACGGCCTTTAAGACAATTACAGTGATACAAATCCTAGAAACTTTTGGAAACTAGTCCGAAGGTTAATAAAATCATCAGACACATCTAATAGTATACGAGTGCGAATAGTTAAGGAGTGCGACTGGAATATAGAAGTGGATGACGTCATAAAGACTAATATACTTAACGATTACTTTGTTTCAATATCTACTCTAGACGATACTAACATTGACGTACCTGTTATAGAATCTAGAACAGACTCGACCATTCCAGACATACCGTTTAATATTAATGACATTATCGACATTATCGACATTCTAAAAAATCGGTAAAGCTGTAGGAAAGGATACTATTAGTCATACCATGCTGAAGAATACCTCTTATTCAGTTGCTTATCCTCTTTCATTGATCTTTCTCTCATCTTTGGAAACTGGATCTTTTCCTAAACAATGGAAACATGCTCTAGTTATGCCGTTTTTTTAAAAAGGCGATAAACAAGACCCTTCAAATAATAGACCCATAGCATTACGAAGTACTATTGGTAAAGCTTTCGAAAGATGAGTCGCTAAATATTTACATAACTACCTTTTAGATAATTCTCTCATATATAAATATCAGTCAGATTTTCAACCAGGTCATTCTACTGTACACCAGCTTATAGAAATATATCATACTATGTGTGACAATCTTGAAAAAACCCAGCCAACTTGTCTAATTTTTTGTGATATTTCTAAGGCGTTTGATCGAGTGTGACATAGGGGACTGGAAGTGAAACTAGCTAGCTATGGAATATCGGGAAAGTTACTGGACTGGTTAATTAATTATGTTACTAAAAGATCTCAACAAGGTTTTTTTTATTGGAAATAGAAGTTCTTCTGTTAAGAGAACAAATGCAGGAGTACCTCAGGGTTCGGTTCTTGGCCCATTGCTATTTATACTATATATTAATGACATAACAGATAATATAGAAAGTCTATCAAAACGTTTTGCTGAGGACAACTCTCTTTTGTATTCGGATAAATCACCACAAGTAATTGAACAAAAAATTAATAATGATCTCGTAAATATACAATTGTGGGCAGATAAGTGGCTTGTTCAATTCAATCCTGCAAAGACAGAGGCTTTAATTATTTCTTATATTGAACTTGATCACCTCATTGAAATTAACTTTAATTATGTAAGAATTGAATTTGTTGAAAACCATAAGCATCTGGGAGTATTCATCAATGCTAACTGTAAATGGACCTATCACATTGATAATATATGTAAAAAAGTGGTTAAACAATTAAGTGTCCTCCGTAAATTGAAATATACCCTGAACCGACGTACACTGAATAAAATATATAGAACATGTATACTTCCTATTCGAGAATATTGTTGCGAACTTTGGGATGGTTGTTCTATTACTGATTCAGACAAATTAGAAAAACTACAACTTGAAGCTGGACGTATTGTCACTGGTTTACCGTCGTTTACTAGTAGACAATCTATATATAATGAAACTGGATGGGATTCTCTAGCCCATCGGAGATCCCGTCGAAAACTTCAATTACTTTTCAAAATCCACAAAAATATAGCAACACTCTACTCCCTTCCCTTGTCGATAAATCTCACTATAATCTTCGAAACGTTAAAAACTACAACTTACCTAACAACAGACTTGAATTATCTAACGTATCCTTTTTTCCTTCTACTGTTAGACTGTGGAACCAGTTACCTACTAGTATACGACGTAGTGTCACGTTCTCATCATTTTGAAACGCCATTCAAGACGTAAACTTGCCTCTTGTACCAAATCCCTTTTTATGGTGATAGGAAAAATAATATTTTGCATACAAAATTAAGAAACCGTTCTAGTACCTGTGACCCGTTCGTGTTAACCTTATTGATTACAAACGTTGTATATGTGGCTTCCCTATTGAAGACACACCATTTCTTTTTTACCTGTGATAAATATAACGAATAAAGAATTAAGAGCTTTATCGTGAACTGAATGAATACATGCCTCTTAATTTAAATCTACTTTTATTTAGAGATACACACTCTTTCGGAACATGAAAACATAACGATATTCATGCATACTCAGCAATACATTCGTGACTCTAACAGATTCCAGTAACCCCCCCCC